CATTATTTTCTCTCTTACTTTCCTCAACTTCCTTAACCCTTTATGTCCCGATGGTACTTTAAAGTATCATTTACATTAAAATGGTGCCAAGAACCGAACATGCTTATAAGTTAATGCTAATATTCTCTGCAGTGCCCTAACATAATGCCAGCATCCAGAGACAGCATACTTAGCTACACAAACAGGAAGTTTCACAGCGTGCACATGGAAATGCTATCTTTGTTTCCAAGTCAATGCACGCTCTTGCATTTCTAAAGCCACTTACGTCATTATAATTACTTGAATTTTATATTCTCTACGACCACAGTGAAAAATATTCACTCTTACCATGCATCCTTGAAGTAACTACAACGACATTAACATCAGTCGGTACATAAGGGATTAACTGCACCGTATATCAAAAAACAGTGCATAAATTTCTTCACCCAGCATCCTCCTAATAAAGACATCTGAACGTTATACATATCCACGAAGAAAATCACCGATCACGTTCCATATTCCTTAAAACTGAAATTGCAAAAGGACTCGTTCGCTCCATTACAGCGAACCGGTTCAACAATCTCCGAAGCCCGGACTTACCGTCGTATCGATTAATTGCCCTTCGATTTCTTGCCGCGAGAAAATGACGCGTGAAAAAGGAGAACGAGGGCGAGGAGAGTCCCAGAAAAGGGAGTCCGCCGACAATGTTGACGAGAAAATGAGGGAGAGTCGAGGGAAACGTAAAAGGTAATTAGTCTGGCGGTAATGAGGATCCGGTTTTTTTTTCCTCCTCCGTGCGCTCGAATGGTAGCGCTCTTCTTCTCATTAGCGCAGAATACACCGCGGCGACCTGACTTCGTTAGCCGGGACTTTTGAAACGTATCCTTTTCCCTCGTTCGCGAAGCGTTATTATCGTCTTGTATCGCGAGTCCCGTTTACGTCGTGGGAATAGCACGCCATCGATATTCATATCGCATAACGCAGCCGGTCGAGATCTCGCCGAGCTGTACCTATTACGCCTTTCAGAAAGATCTTTTTTTTTTTGAGTATCGCGTATAATTAAGAGTCGAAACGAACGCTTCCTACTCTCGATCGTTTCGACGTGCTTCTTTACCGTCCGTCGATATCATCTACTCTTTCGATCCCTTTTCAACGCTCTTCGATTAATACTGTGGACCGGTGTTTTCTTTATTTTGTTGCTTTTTTTAGGGGGATTTTGTGAGAACGAGGAAGATGTTGGAACAAATGTGTACCAGTTTTGATAGTGGGAACTGGTAAATGAAATGGAATTCTAGTAAGGGAAGTTCGGTAACCTGAAAATTTAGGAAAGTTAGAAATTTTGTAGAAATGTAGTTCAAGTGACAGGAAAGTAACCAGATCCTTCAGAAAAATTGTGACTACTTATGAAGCTGTAAAGGATATAGGAAAAAGAGTTAAATTCGAAGTTGGCTAGTTTTTAATGATCTATATTACGATTGTAACGAATTTTCGAAAAACTGTATCCTTTTCTAAATTAAGAGTGGCGAGGGTGAATATTGAAAAAGAATAATGTTTTTAATATATACAATGTATGCAAAATAAACACAATTCGATGCACGAAAAATAAGTAATTCAAATTTAACCATTAAAGTAAAAAAAGCAAGTAGTTATACTAATAAGTTATCTCTTTCATTTCAAAAATCAAGAACAGCTATTATAGAATCATAGAAATTTAAATTTAACCATTGAAATAAAAGGAGAATGTGGTTAGACCAATTCTCTTTCATTCCAAAAATCAAGAACAGTAATTGTAGAATCGTAGAAATATGAAGAAAGAATATAATTAAATCGCAAAAATTTTGCAAATAAGAAGAGAAGCAAATTTCACGCAGTAAATTTCACAGATGAAGCAGTTCCTCATTAACGAATGACTTAATTAGCGAACATTTCGATGCCACTACAACAGTTGATCGCGAAATGGAATGATTGAAAGAACTAACGAAGGTAAATCGCGATGCGATTCAAATTTAATTCGTGATCGTCTCGATCGCAGTAACGTGTAATAATCTTCGATTTCGAAGGGAACAGCGAGCAACAGAGTGCCCCATTGTCTCTGTAAAATTATCATGGCACCCTGAGGGCGCACGATCCACGATAGCTTGGAATACGAAACGAGCACCTTCAACTCCCGATATCCTGGAAGATCGTTCGATCGAGAACGTTTTAAATATTACGGAAACTATCGTTCACCGATTGAGTTTCTACCATCCTAAGTATCATGCAAATTTTTGCTCAACCTTTTCCAGAAATAATTTTATTAAAATCTTCTCGTTTCGATCGAAGATTTGGAAAGACGGAAAATTATTAGGGCCTCCTTTTTCCTTGGAGAAATCCAAAGAAATATGGGGAAAATTAAATGAGAATCAGTTGAAGATTTTTTCCAAACTTTCAGAAATAATAATTTTAAATTATTCTAGTTTCAATTGAAAATTTCAGAAATGAATTTCTTCTCCTTGGAGAAATTACGAGAAATAATTGATTGTCGAAGATTTAGCGAATTTACCCACAGGAACAACCATAAAATAAAAGATAAAATACCACTTTTCATGAATCATTAAACGATACCCGAGAATACTATAATATTTATTCAAACGACGCCTCTATTCATCCACGCGACAAACAAGTGAAATTTAGTGGTAATAAAATTCGACTTTAATTACCTCGTGAAAGAGGTGCCAATAGTTTGTTAACTTTTTCACGCGAGTATCATCGATCTTAATTATCCCATGAAACAGCTGTCAATAGCTTGTTAGCTTTTTAACGATAGAATCATTCATAAAATCGCAATAAACTGAAACATTTCAAATAATCTTCAAAACAAACATATGTAAAATAATTCAGCTGTCGACAGGCTGCTTAAGATCTTAATCATCTCACGAAAACACCTGTCAATACCTCCTTCAATTCTTTAATAAAATCAAAAATTTTACCAACAAACTTCCTTCTTTCAATCTTTTAAATTTATCCATCCTATCTTTGCATGTTGACCAAAAATATTGAAGTAAACCATCAAAAAAAAAAAAAAAAAAATCTTTTTTCCCCACAAAACCACCTTGTAATACCGTATTAAAATAAAATAATAAGGAAACACACAAAAGTAACTCTGTCGAAGTATCAGCTTAACTTCAAATCTGTTACTTCCCATACCCATGCACCTACTACACACAAGTTATGTCAGCACTAAAATATACTTATTGTCAATGTTCTCCCCTACCCATTTTCCCTCCACAAAAGATGATCAGTTCGCAAATTCACCGGGCACTTCATTAGCATATACAACGCGGCGGCTACGTGCATAACGTGCAAATATTATTGTAACTTTCCGTTGCTCGTGGGATTTTTGTCTGTCGATCGTTTCCTTCGCCTTCTTTTTACAGAGCCCCGTTGACCCAAAGTGTCCATTCGGTCACACCACGGAGGAGAGTATTGGCCGATCATCTGACAGCTGTTCCGAAAGAAAATGCGTTTCGAGCGGCGAGGGATTAACGTTACAATGAGAATCGCGCGAGAGAGAAAAAATTGGGTAAAAAGAAATCACGGAATTCTTCGTCATCGTGGTCGTACAATCGCGGACGGCCGCCATTGTGCGTTCTATTGTGCGATATTAGCTCGTTTTAATACACCCTGATAATGATAATTCATGCTGATTTTGGAGGGAAAAAAGAAGGGGAGGAAATAGAATGGGATATGAATCAGCTGATTGAGAATGTGAAAGGGCGGTTTTGTGGGAAAACTGAATACGATGATTTGAGCAAATATGCTGGTAGATTGTTTTTTTTTTGCACGAGTTTTTTGTGAATAAGATTGTAGGAAAATAGGTATTAATGTTGCCATAATCTGTTTAAGAATTTGCTTCTGTTATGATCGTATGTACCTTGAATTCCTGTGAAATTTTTATTGCTTCCAATGAACAACGGATTAAATGCGAAATTACCGTCGGAGATGGCTCCATAAATTTTCATATTCTCCTTAAATTAATTCACACATTATTCGTTAATAGACTGCAGATTTTTATGCACTTATGGAAAATTTGAAGGCACAAAAATACACAGAATGCACATAATAAGCAAAAATACAGTACTCGTTATAATATTTAGCGAATAAAACAATGCCTATCTGCCTATTATCTTTCCAATTACAGTAAATTCTCTACAAGTGTCAGTCAGTTTGGATTCTACAAGTGTCAGTATAGATGGTCCTACGCCTATGTTATCCTCGCTCGCGCCTATGTTATCCTCACTCGCTGTCAGTCAAGCGTGTAACGCTACACCACTCGGTTTCTTTTGCGAGATTTCACGGCTTCCAACTCATAATAGAAAAATATAATTTCTTTAATTTTACTTTTTTTCATCTGAAATTTTTTTAACATGCTGGTGAGATTTTTCTGATGAAAATGATATCAAACACGATATAATTTGATGTCATTTTCATGAGAAAAATCTCATCAATATGTTAAGAAAAATTTCGGGATAAAAAAACGTAAAATTTAAAAAGTTGGTATTTAAATCGCTTGGTTGCCTCGACTCACGTTTCATCCTTATCTTTTATTCACTGTCCTTGTCTACGTTCGGCAAACTACAAAGGCGGGCGCGAGGCTCGGAAACGTAGTCCTTGACTCTACAAGTGTCAGGTTTAGATTCCTTGCGGACTGACACTTGTAGAGAATTTACTGTATACTCATAAAAATCCGCAAAAAATA